AAACCTTTAATGAATTTTTGATTAAAAAACTCAACAATTTCAAAGTGAGCAGTGGCAACACAGTGTAAGGAATAAAACATTTTCGTCTCCAGCGCGCAAGATTGTCTATCGGAAATTCTAAAGATATGCTGTTTTTAAACATTTTTAGCCCAAAGTGGTATTAGCCAAAATGCTCTTGAAACGTGTATGTGTCCGTAAATGAAACAAACGTACGTTTGGGCATAATATAAAATCTGAAAAACTTTCAGATTTTTTTTTTTTTTTTTCCTTTCTTTTCTTTTCTTCTTCTTCGTTTTTTCTTTTCAAATATAGCTTTTATAAACTAACCATGAATTAAGTAATAAAAAATTATTAAATTAGTATAAACTAAATCGCCCTGAAATAATATCTTGTCTCACGGGGAAAACATGGCGTCCGAGATGGATCACTTCCTCCGCTCGTCTCTTGTTACGCCACTGAGTTACCAATGATGAGTATGAAACAACTATTTCTATAAATAACCAAAAACATTTGTACGAAATTGCTGTACTCTAATTCAGAATTTTTAGTACTCATTATTGTTGGAAGTCACAAACGGGAAGAATGAGAACGGCTTATTTCGATTTTGTTTATATTATGCTGATAAATGCACTTTATACACGGGCTGGCGTCTTTGCCATCTGGGAGTCTCTCAAGTTCCTTTGCACCAACTCCCTAAACACATAATAAAATTTGATCTTTTAATATCAGACTGACAATAGAAATGTCGTTTTCATAAATGTAGTGCTGCCATCTATTGGTAGAAATAGTTAATTCAATCTACGATAAGTGAATTTGAAGCAACCATTTCGATTACACTGTCACCCCCCCCCTGCAATCCTACTTTACACTGGTATAACTCCATTTGCCCAATCGCATGTTTAATTATTAAAACAAAAAATTTTAAAATACCGCCCAAAATACTAATTTCTTTTAATTTCTGTTCTAAAAGTTGTAGTTGATTTTTCTTCAGTTCCTATTGTTTCATAGAAAAAAAAATCAATTTTATTTGCATATAATCTTTAAAAAAATGTATTATTGTTGCATTGTGAAACATTACCACAACATATAAGCAAAAAATATAGCCTTACAATGTAAAAAAATAATAAAATTTCATAGTACAAAATTCGGATTTCAATAATTTTTGAATTATTACGCTTTCTTATAAGAATGAGATTTAAAAAATAAATAGAATATTGGCCTGAATTAAGATAAATTAATCTAAACTATGCATTATTAAAAGTGGTTTCCATATAAGAACATCTTACACACGCTTTCCAGACGTACGTTATTCAAAAGTGGATAGGTCTAGGTACCGTTGTTTTATCACAATGCGAGAAAAGCATACATTTTGCAGATTCTTCGTTATTTAATTTCTTTAAATATAACACAGGGCTCTAATATTTTGTGGCAACAAGTGAACCGACATTTCTAGTGAACCAATGCAAAATGCCAATACGAAATTAATAGCTCTTCTGGGCTAATAATTAATGTTTCGTTTTAAGTGCCCACTGACTTCTGGTACGAAATCGCAAGAGCAGGAAACAGCCGTTGTACCATAATGCTTAATATCACCAACGAAAATTAGCTATCAGTCTATTTCATTTTTAAGCGCAAAATCCTTGCCAGGAAAAAACGAATTACTCTCCGGAATACTAGTTTGAATTCCAGATCAAGATAGATGACAGAATAACTCTATTCAGATTGACTGAAATCAGTGTGGTTTCTGTCTGCAGTCAGTGCTTCATGTTGGTAATTCAAAGCTTACGTATTGAGAATGATGGTGTATTGAGAATACGGCAAAGCACACTAGGGCTATCTGCCTAAAGGGAGGGATGCCTTCGTGGAGGACTTTCTAAGGGAAACTCGTATACACGTTACACATGGGGAAAACCACGAAAACGCCCGTTCGCGGGATTCGAACCTCGGACCGAACTACCAGTGTTCAGCGATTTTACCGCTCAGCCGCTGGTGGGCTGAAAGCTTACGAATCGAGTCGTCTGACCAAAAGAGTGGAAAAAGGAGGAGAGAAATGACACAGTTGTGAAAGCAGAAGAGATGGTTACAACCATTTTATGGATCCACCAACCATCCTTATAAGGCAATCCCACGTTTCCACAGTGCTGCAGAGAACGTCGCCCACTGGGTTAATAAGAAAACCAATCCCTTGCCTCAAGTATACAAATGGATTGTGGCTTCATAAAAACTAATATCACAAGAAATGGTGTTCAGAAGTTTCAATGGCACGCCATTTCCAAAGCGATGAAGAGATCAGAAGACGATGTACTGCATTTCTCATCATTTGACTGTGAGGACTCAAGTGTTCGCTGGTACAGGCAATAAAATTTCAGGTGAAGAATAGAAACAATAGCTGTAGTCAAATAAAGGCATTGATTGCAGGTTTTATAGTCTACGTACAGGTAGAAGCAATTTTATAAACCGTTTTAAAATTATTCATTATCTTTAAGTGGCCACACCTTAATTTTGCTTAAATATTGAGACCTGTAAATGCCTATTCATGCGCAAGTATTTTCTTTAACGTAGAAATTAAGTGATACATATTCTAAAGATAGCTTGTATATAAAGTCAGTTTTTCGGATAAGAGGTTGGGAACATCTTGGAATTTACAACAACAAAACAATTTCAAATTCCTAATTCGTAAGTAATTGTGCAGAAATTAGAATTCTGTTTTTCATCACAGCACGATAAAAGTACTCGAGTATAAATAGTTTTGTTGTGTTTCGCTCAGAATCAAACTTGCTTTAACAAGCCTTGTTCATATTATCTAATATAATATGCTCTTACGATGATGCGCACTGTTAACTCGCTATTGACAAGCGTATAATCTATCTTAATTTTCTCGAAAATAAATTAATATATTTCTAAAACCTACTGTTGAAATATTTGTTCTTTCTCATAAAATGACAGTAGCTTAGCGGTATGTATCAGAAAATTTTGACCTTATTCTTTACGTTTAGTGGTTACACAGTAACTGCAATATGCAGCAAGAAATAAGTACAGTACATTATTGTTAGTTAGTAAATGTATTCAACAGCTGATTTGCCTTTCGAATATTTTTTTCTGCCAATATTATAGCCGAGAAATAATGCCATTAAAGTTTCTTAAAGTTGCTGATTGTTTCTGCTTTTGTATAGTTAAAATAAATAACATAGAAATTGTGTCTCGAAATTATTCCCCACGTTTCGATATACATGCCTATCAATCATTTATTGAAATGAGTTATATTTTTTATTGTTATTTCCCACTGGAGTTTTTGAATTTAAAATAAAGTCTGCTGTGAGTAGAAATATAACGGGTTCTAGAACATTGTTGGTGGCCTTTCCTTTGTCGATTAATATTTAAAAGAATGCCATTTCAAAACAAGTTTCTCACCTTTTTTAAAATGAAACTAAAATGCAGAATGTGGATATTAACGACTGCTTTGTAAATCATCATCATCATCATAATTATACATAAAAGACTAAATGGTGCGTAAACGACTCACTTGTAATGGCAACTTTTAATTAAAATGAGATTGCTTAGACTTCAGTACCGAACAGCAATTACGTTAATTCAATGGCGAACAGCAAGAAAAATATTTCTCTCCGGATGTTAGAAATCTGTTATTCCAACAGTCGCTTTCTCATGTGTAAATGAATATAAGAATTAAATCACATTGCGTTTGCTTGTGGGTATAATTAAGTTTAAAATACATTTTTTTAAAATATGAAATTTGTACAAAATAAAAAAGTATGCAGGAAAATTTTTAAAGTTAAAAAATTAAAAATACAAAAAGAATTTATCTTCACTAGCAAGATCTGGACTTTACTAGACTTATAAATACCTCAATTTTAAAAAATGGGAATTTATTTTCAACATAATATATCACATAGATATTCTAGAATAGGGCTTAATTTCTAGAAGTGCCGAAGCCCTATGGAAGACCGTCACGAAAGAGGAACAAGAGTAAATACATAAATAAATAAATCTAAAAGGTTTCAGATTTTAAATTACGTTCAAAAAGGCGTTTTTTAACATATTATTAAATATCATGTCCTTCGCACTTAAACCATAAAATTCAGTTCAACAGCAATATCGCAAAATAATTTTAAATCTTTAGAATTACCGATACGCAGACTCTCACGCTGGAGATAAAAATGATTTTTCTGTACAACGTTGCCATGGCTCGCTTTGAAATCCTTGAGTTTGTTAATCAAAAATTCTTTAAAATTTTACAAAATATGAAATCGATAATAAAACCAATTCCAAATTTCAAATTTGGGCCTCCAGATGTCCCTATTCGCAGGAGGATTACGTTACTCAAAATTGGATGGCTCTAGGTACCGTTGTTTTATCACCATGCGAGACACATACATACATTTGTGCAGATTCTTCATTACTTAATTTCTTTAAATATAATACAGGGCGATAATATTCGGTGGCAACAATTTGAAAAGTGAAACAACGCTTAACGAAATTAATAATCCTTCTGGGCAAATTGCCCCTTTGGACTAAAAATGACTATTAAAATCATTAATAATTTAAAAATTAAATAGTTAATGAGTATCATATTAATTATTTAATTGATATTAATAATTAATATTTATGAGTTATTATTTAATTGATAATTATTATTTAATTCACTCGTGGTTAATTATTATTATTTATAAAAATAGCTGAAAATTAAAGTAATTAAATAATTAAAATTACATCAAATGTACAGAGTTAAATTAAAATTTAATAAACGATTTTTAATATAATTTTATTATTAAAAATAAAATTTTCGACATCAAATTTCTAACAGTTACATAAAAGTGCCGGAGCATTCTTATTTAGGGCTCCGGTGCGCTCCAGCTAAAATTAGAATTTATTCCCAAAACTAAGAAGTACCGGATCAGGGCTCCGGTGCAATTTAAGCTCTGTTCTAGAGTCTATATGGTATTTTTCCCGTGACAGACGCAATAAAAGGTGAAGTTGCTTACGTATATTGGGCGGAAGTAAGTTGTGCGCTTCTAGCGGTGGTTGTAAAGATTCGGTTGGCGACAGTCTGGACGTTGGCGATAAAGGGACGGCATATACTGGCACACATCGCCAACCGGGAAGGTTGAGGTAGGCAGGTTCGAGGCTTGGGGAACACTCCATAGACGTACGGATCAGTCATGGGGGCATTCTCATCAAGATAGGTTAGTTCAATCACTTCGCCTTCTACAAATGAAAACAAAAAAGTGTTCAGTAAAATAAGCATGGAAGCTTCTGCTGAGACATAAAACAAATTATTTACAAGAAAATTGAACCTGTTTAATTACAGATAATTGAAATAAGTTAATACCAAATGTTAAACTAAAAATTATTATTATTATTTACAAACAAGTACATTGAGAACAAATAACAAATCCAAAAAATAAACTGAAGAGAAAAATAAAACGCATAATGTAAAATTTTGCTTAAAATTATGATAATAAAAAATTATCTTCATTGCATAGTTTCGCAAAAAATTTTTATTTTTGATATAGTTTCTTTAGATTAACAAAAACGAATCTCTCGTATTCACAGATGCTATATCATTATTATAATCCAGTTTTGCTAAACTTTATTATACTCTTTTGAAACATTTTTACGCATTTTTCCAATGATAAGTTTAAGAAGAAAACTGCGTTTTCAAATTGCAATCCAAATAATCACTACATAATATTTAAATACTGATAAAAGAAAGGACGGGGACAATTAAACGATTTCTTTGCGCACTCGAAAAGACAGAAAACTATTGAAGATCACGCGAGGAAACTGTTTGTCCACTGAGAGTTAACTGTTGGATTTTCGTGATGAAAACAGCCGTTTTCATTAGGAATTAGCTGTTGGAATTTCTTGACGAAAATAGCGGTTTTCATTGTAGGATCATTTCTGATGAAAACTGCTACACACGCAACTAAGCGCCAATATTTTCAAGCATCAGCGTTCAAAAAACGGAATTTGAATCGGAATGCTTATGCATATTAACGCAAATCATCATTTAATGAATTCAACTTTATGAAGGAAAATATCTATTTTCGTCGCAGCTTATTTTATTTCGTCGGGTTTATGAAAGTTTTAACGATTTTTATTATAGTTCACATACTGGAGTATTTTGAGGGTTCGACAAAAGGTGTGTTACAGAATATTCTATTCGTTCTATAACTTGATCAAGTCTGAATGTTTCTATTAGGAAATCATCCTTTTCATTTCGCTACGAAAATATACAGAGGCTGTTCGCACATTTTTTAGACGATTTTGGTAAGCGGTAATAAAAAATCGTTTGCTGCAAAAGAATTAATTGCAATTGTACTATATTTTTTAAAGTCAAAATTATCGTCTGTGTCTTGAAAGTTTTGTTTTTATTCAAAATGGCGAATTTAACAAAGAAGTGGTTCGAAGGCTACATTTACGTTCTTCCCGAAGAGAAATATGCATACTCCGTTATCCAAAAACGATGTGAGAGTCATGGTTTTGTGATATCTAAAGCGTCGATAGGTAATATCATCAACAAGAAAGGAAAAAAAAAAAAACGTCAAATTGGAGCCTCAAGTGGGACAAAAATTCCAAACAAGTATCCAAGAAAAAAACGGACATCTTCGACTATTGCAAAGGTACGTTGTTTAATGTTAAAAGAAAATCCCCCTAGTCAAAGGACAGTTGCAAAATTATTAAAATGCTCGGTGTCCACTGTAAACAAAATGATAAACGTTGATTTAAAACTTAAGGAAAGCGAAAAAACGAAATGTGCATCGTCTTCTTCCAAAGCATATCGCTCAACGCAGGACACGCTGCAGAATTCTATATGAGAAACACTTATCCAAAGAAAAATGCAAAACAATTGTCACAGCAGATGAAGCAGGGGTGTATTTAAATGATTGTAACAAAAAAAGAGCCATTTATTATCATAAAAGTGGAGAAAAAAATTTAAGTACATGGTTCAAAGAATCGAAAGAAAGTTTTTCTAAGGGATTCATGATTGTTGCTGGTTTTTCTTATAATGATATTTTATATAATGAAAAAATGCTGAAAAAATGATATTTTATATAAATTTGAAAATGGAAGAGTTCTGCTAGTAGTACCAGAAGCTAAATGAGATTATACAGAAGGGATGTAAAAGAGGCCATTTTGCTGTAGAGAAAACGGCGAATGCGGTAGAGCAAGAATTTTATATTCCTAGATTGATGCTGCGTAGAGTGCACACTGTACAACAAAGGCTTTATCAGTTCAATACCAAAGGAAAACGTCTCATTAAGTACTGTCTGTCTATGAGAAGAACAGGTCCTGCCACAGTATCTGGCAGCTGGCGGTCGCTGTAGCAACAGGGCTAGTATATTTCAAATAGAGGCGAACCAAGGGTTGCCAGTTCATCTTTAAATACGTCAAGATGGAAAACTGAAGTAAATCTTCAAGACACCCCTACGGAAAATGGGTTACGGCTCGTTTCTACGGCAACAGACAGCTGCAGACTAACTGGCGAGAGCTTTTTTTATGATTGACAGACTATACCTATCATGTCGACTTTGTTGGACCACTTCCATCAACAAACAAGCGATTCTAAAATATTGTAGCCACTATGTTTTTTTTTTTAAACCAGAGCCTTGAAAAGTGAACAATGCCCTCGCCTAGACCTCTCGAATAGGCGCCAAGTGTGCACCGTTACACCACGAAGGTATGCTGGAAGGAGAGAGAAAATACCTTATGTACTCTCTCTTTTAAAGGGCGACTTGGGATTAGGGGATTTAATCGCCAAATACTGGTGATCACGAATGGATCACTGGTGTCCATCACCTTTCGTAGTTCTGACGGCATCGTAGAGTCCTTAGGTTTTTTCTTAATGTTGAAGACGTGAAACAATGAGCAATGGCGGGATTCGAACCTGGACCTCTCCAATACGCGCCGAATGTGCTAGCGTTGTAAGGATCTTAAGTTTTACTAACGTTTATTTTATTTTAAATCTTTACTATCACTTCTTATTTTCTACTTCCGGCCAGAATTAAAAGCTTTAACTTATTTATGCAAATTTGTCTGGCGAACGCCAAGTACTTAAGTTGTGGCTTTTTTCCAAGCAAGAGAGAGAAAGGAGTTACTAGAAGCAGGCCGCTTGCCTTAGCAGTTTCACTCGGTTGCTGGTTGCCTTCCAGGCCAGAGGTTTAATCCTCTTGATAATTTTAAACGTATTGTAGTGTTAACAGTTCTCTGTACTACATACGGCTTCCTGTTAATATACGGCCAATCTTCCACGTAGGCCCTTGTTTATTATTCCAAAGTTAAGTTAGAGTTTAGTTAATATTTTTATATTCTTACGTTCAGACCACAAGTGGTTGGTCTCTGTATTCCGAAGTCCGGAAATTATTGTAAAGAGTGAAAAATAAAGGGTTTCGTATACCCTTCCTGTGTATCTTGTCTACTTCCCACATTTATTGAACATAGCTTTAGTAAGCTCCCTGTTCCGAGTCAGGTCTTTGCATGTTCCCAAAGCAAGTAAGGCGGAACACTGAACCTGATAGCGTTACACCACGAAGGAATGCTGGAAGGAGGGAGAAAAAAACCTTATGAGATTTTCATTGTGGTCGACGCTTTCACGAAGTTTACCTGGTTTTATCCTGTGGAACCTCCATCTACGTAGGAAGTCATCGCGAAATTGTATTTGGAAATCCTACCAGAATCATTTCTGACAGAGGTAATTCCTTTACATCGAAAGAGATTGAAACTTACTGAACGAAAGAAGAAATAGAGGATATCAAAATTACCACCGGAATTGCCAAGAGAAAATGGGCAAATTGGGTGGATACACAGGATTTTAATTCCTGTTTTGTGAAAGTTGTCACATGAAGATTCGACAAAATGTTTTAAGTTATGTCACAGATGTGCAAAGGATAAACGATAGTACATCCACAAGAAGCACAAAGTGTTCGCCGTTTGAACTGCTTGTACGTACTAAAATGAAGAATAAAGATTTAAGGATTAGCGAAATATTGGATGGAGAATATTGAAACTAATTAATGCAGGAACGTGATTTGAAATGAGGGAGGATGTGAAAAGAAATATTTTGAAGCTGCAAGAAGAGAATCATAAACAATTCAATAAGAGAGAAATGAAACCCATACTGTATGAGATTGATGATTTAGTAGCCATTCAGAGAACTCAGTAGGGACTGGATTGGAATTAATACCCAAATTTCATGGACCTTGCAGAGTTACAACCATCAAAATAAAAGATAGATATGAAGGTGAGAAAGTAGGATGCCACGATGGACCTGATAAGACATCCACTGCAGCTGACCGTATGAAGCCATGGCTAAGTGATTAATGATTGTATAGTTACAAATCTACATCTGATATTTTTTTTTTTTTTTTTTTTTTTTTTTTTTTTTTTTTTTTTTGCTTCGTCTCTTGCAGGTTATCCCATGACGATGGTGAAGTCTTCCCAACAGACATCCGGGGGCGAATGTCAACCAAAATGGCTGAAAATGTAGGTACCAAAATGGCTGAAAATGTAGGCCCAGCGAGGACTGACTTCACTTCAGTTTGCTGCCGAGGCAGAGGATCAGATGAATCGTAGCAAATGTGCTTCTGAACAAAGCAGATGTGTTTTGTAGGCAGAAAGAAGGAGGATCTCACTGACGAACCTTCTAGGACTTTTTGATGGGATAGCAGTCTTCACAAATATGTAATAGTATCCAGCCAACATTTGTGAATACCTGAACTTTGTGCCAGGGATCTTTGATTATGTAGATCTAATGGAACTGTGTATGAACTAACATAACCTTGTGGGGTCGCCCAGCAACTATGTCAGTGCCATGTCTAGCAAGATTTCTAATGCCATCATAACAGTTTAGTAATAAATTAGTATAGTTCATACCTTCGTGCTCTAGTTTATACCCCACATGAATATAAAATATTATTGTTTTGCATCAAAGAGCTTTTCATATTCTTCCCATTTTCCCTTATTATAGACAGGAAACTAGAAAGCTTATTAGTTATTCAACTTCATATCATAAAACTATTCAACAAACTATTCATTCAACCTGATTGTAATATTTCATTTCAGTTAATAATTTGTGGTGGTTGAACCAAATCGTGGTATTTAAAGAGTAATTTTCTTTACCTCTTACGTAAATAACTTCCCTAAGGACAAAGCAAATGACAGTCATTCACTCAGAGCCATTACGTCTTAGCACCGTCATCCAAGAA